ATTTATATATTTGATATTTTTATCTGTACTTGAATTAGGAACTTCTACTTACATAGCACAGGATTGAAAGAACAGGTAAGGCGATATGTTGCTTGTGATTGGCGGATTGTAAATAATACGCACAATAAAAAAACTATTCTATTTAAAACTCAGCCGGAATTGGATTCAAAAAGTATAATTGAAGAAAGGAACTTTCTTGGTAATAATGGTTTAGAAATATCAGGTAATGTACTGAAGCCGGGAACCCAGAATTATTATTAGCCAAAAGTATATGGCGTAAAGATTGGAATGAGTCCACGACCAATGTTCAGAAGTAAAAAGACCTGCAGCTTTAAAATATCACATATTTCATGTCCCAAATTCAGAGTTTCATTGACATCTTGAAAATTTCGAAATCGATTTAAGATATGCTTTTCACCAGCATAAATGAGCGTAATGAATATAATTTTGAGAAATAACTGTGTATTATTTTTTAAAATGGTCATTTTTTAATTTCTCTTTAGTTGTGCTTCGAATTTCTTCTTCTACTTTTTTATGTCCAAATCCAAACGAACAGGCTCCATCCAATCTATTTCTGCCAGTAATTCCCCTTTGGTCCAGTTGATGGATAGGAAGACCACTATTACAACATAACTTTGATGTCCCGACACATTGTTGGTATGTCGTGTAATATCTAACAAGTTCCGGTAATAACTTAACCCTAGGTTATAAGGGGACGCGTCTGCTAATATACAACAATGCTTTTTAAGCATATTATAAAATTGTACAAAGGTGAGTTTAAATTTCTTGTAACTAAAATACTAGAAAAATCTGATAAAAGTGAAACGGGCCACTTCCCTTTAATCGGTACATCTCTAGTGCCGTTCTTAAAACCGGTATTCGAGTACAGTACTGATCCGGTTCCGGGACGCATCTTTGACGTGTGTGCACTTCAAGAACCACATATCTATTTTACGCGGCCTCGTTAATACCTACAAAAAAGTATGCCCGTGTAGGCGGTCATACTTTTTTGATGCTTGAATTGTCATAATCCAAGTCTGCCAAGAATTTGATTCCGTTTTAGAAAACAATACGACAGTAAAGAAAAATTTAAGTTAGCAGTTCCCAAAAAGGAGCCCTGAAAACGCAATTAGAATTCAAGTTGCACTTTTATTGCATTTTCTTCGGTTTTCTCAGGAGTCGTAGACACAATTGAAGGTACTTTTAGGGTTTTAATAGTCATTATTACTGACTCTTCGAATGCTTCGAATGATTCTCGAGGTTACACACTAATTTTTTTGTCAGCATTTTCAGACGATCATTGGCAATGCCAAGATGCTGCCTACCGTTGCGGAATCTCTGCGAACTTCGTATGTAGAGGGAAGGACATGTCATAGCGTTTGGACAAAACTGTAGTCTGGTCATTCCAGAGCCGGTTGGTGCGTCGTAAAAAGATAAGATTAAATTCAGTACTTTTTTAAATCAGTCGTTTCTTTTCTATTCCATAGATGGAAGGAGCTCATGGCGTATCTTGATTAGCTACCGGGGCCCATGGATATCGCGAAGTTAACGTCACCATCCATCTCCAGGCGAAGTTTCAATACAAAATAGTAATAGAATAGGAACAAATAAGTATTTCAGTTGATGGAAGTTTCATGCGAACTGTTATGGGGTCCCTCTCCGAGATAGTTTTACAAAAAAATAAATTGTATTGGATTAAAATAAAGGTTATTGATATATAATTATATTACAAAGAGGAGAGGACCCTTAAGCAACCGATCGACGTGAGAGCTGAGAATAGACTACGTGAAACGCGGGCTATTTGTGACTTTTTTTTTATTGCTTAGATGGGTGGACGAGCTCACAGCCCACCTCATGTTAAGTGGTTACTGGAGCCCATGGACATCTACAACGTAAATGCGCCACCCACCTTGAGATATAAGTTCTAAGATCTCAGTATAGTTAGAACGGCTACCCCACCCGAAACGCATTACTGCTTCACGGCAGAAATAGGCAGGGCGGTGGTACCTACCCGCGCGGACTCACAAGAGGTCCTACCACCAGTAAAATGAAACTTAACTTAACTCATGAAACTGCTGACAAGGCATAGTTACCGAAATGTATGACCCAGGGTTGTGTCATCCACTTAGGGTTCAGTACACGGCTATAACAGAACGATTGTACTTGTCACACTGACTATTTCGGTAAAAAGCACTCATGCGATTGATTAGATAATTAGCTTTAAAATTCGTTAAAGCATCGACATAATCCTTCGAACTGTAATCGCGTGTCCCTCATACGATTATGTAACTAGATAAACTTACGTAATTCATAAAACTATTGTAATTTGTTGATAGGCATCATACATATCATTACTGCATTAGACGAAGCAAAGTCATTGAACTGTGTAATAATTGGTAAAATAATTGTCTTCTATTTTTTCTCTCTTTTCAATATTTCTATCGCCTTAATGCGAGACTAGTACTGCCAGTATCGAATTTATATATTCTTCAATTACGAAACGTAATTAATTGAAGTTGATATATATGAAACAGTCATCAGATAATATATTCACATTGAAACTTGAGGTCTGTCTCAAGTGTATAGTAATTAAAAGATTTTTGTAGGGGTTCAGTTTTTAGGACTTTATTCCTTCATCATAGAAGTCATTCGTGAATATGAGTTAAAATTGTATTAAAAAAATCGTAAAAATTTGAATTTCAGCTAACTATGAGCTCCATTAACTATGTTTCATTTGGCCATAATTATACACAAGCACACATACTGAACCATTATTACATAATTAAAACTGACGAAACATTAAATTAACAAAAAAAATGACATGACTTCGCTCCATACTTTCCCGCCAAAAAGTTATATATTATTATGATTAAAGTCCAATGTCGAACGGTTTTCGAATATCGAACCATTTCAAATTTACTAAAAAAAATTACAAAACAAAATGCCAACTTTACTAAACGAGACATTTTGCCAACTAACACAAATAAACATTTACAATATTTCAAAGATTTGATGCGATTAAAATACTTGTTTTTTTAGTTCAACTGTGTAGGGCAGTGTTAGCAATATTTAAATGGTACAATAGCAGTAGCAATGTTTAAGCAACTGCTGATTCCACAGTAAAAGCCAATAATACTTTTCTACGTCGTTTTATCACATAAAATGACATGTTACGTAATGTTTCATTACATACAAACGAACTAAATCATGAACTCCATTAATCGTAACATTGCTCGCGACAAATAGATATTATCTATGAAAATTTATGCACCACTCATAACGAATAGACTTTTGTTCGACATGTACCTATATAGCTCGATAAATTTCGTGGCACAGATTACACTACAACGGTATAGATTACGTAAATTCTTTTTTAATGATCAAATTCAATTCAATATAAAAATTGACTTGAATTGTATCAGAAGTGTTGAATTGTATAGGTTTATTGTATGTGCGGGAAAATTTCATGTACTGTAAGAATTAAATAACATTGGTATGTTGATTTCGACATAGTTATGAAGTTAAGAACTGTCGATTAGATAAGATGGAATTCAATTTAAGTAAAGTTCATTGCTATTCATTAATTTCGTAAGACGATTTTTAAGATTTAATTAAACTTTTTATAGGCGCTATATTATCCTTTTTTAAGATACTACACGACCCACTTCGTGTTCCGCTAAGCTGGCGGAACTCGTAATCCCAATTTGTCACTATCACTCGATACGATAATATTAGGCTTTTTAGATTTTTTCGGCTTTGGAATGAGCTCTCCCCTCCACGGTGTTTTCCGAGCGCTATAACATGTCCTTCTTCAAACGAGGGTTGCGGAGAGTACTTAATGGTACGCAGCGGCTTGGCTTTACCCCTGGCATTGCCGACGTCCATAAGCGACAGTGACCACTTACCATCAGGTGGGCCGTATGCTCGTCTGCCTACAAAGGCAATAAAAAAATATAGATGTTCCACAGAACCCACAAAGTGAATGCCGCTGTCTACCTTGACACAAAATATCGCATCCTCAACTACTATGTACAACGGCTATTCAAACCGGAACACAAGATTACTTCGCATCCTCTCATCTGCATCGTTACCGTAACGTGCGTGGTCTTCACTTAAGAATCCTAACCTCTCTTGTTCCGCTCTTTGCCATCTCATCGTTCTAATGCTTCTCTAGCCTCACTTAAAATAAATTTAAGATCCGTGATTTGATTTTTATTGAACGTTAATTATTTCCCTCTTTTTTTTTATTGTTTTTTTTTTGTAACTTTTTATATGCAGTTTTTCCTTTTTTTTGTTTTCTTTGTCTTAGCTTTAATATTAGTTAACGATATTTTTATCTTAAGCACAAACGCTCTTAAGCAAGATGTGTTCACACCCAAAAGGGCGAACTCTATAATGTATTATTTTATGTAAACAAGTTCAATGTTTATGTGTGCAGATTTAATCGAGTTGTGTGAACCTAATAAAAAAGAAATCCTGTGAGCTCTACAAATTTATCTAAATCTCATTTCGTTTAAAAAAATTGATAGTTCAATTATTTCGTTCTCAAAAATAATTGTCATTAGCGTTGAAGTACGAATCGAAGTAGGTGAATCGAGACGGCGAAACCGGTCGATAGATGCATTTAAAACTATTTCAATTGAATTCGCTGTAGTCACAGCTGATGGAACCTGTATTCTAGCAGGCAGGTGCATTCAAACCGCAATTCATTTGACAGCTGTCATTTTTTTTAAATGTCAAAATTAAATATCATCATGGCCGCCGCAGTCACATTTTGCTATTTTTCATGTTAATGATCAAGAAACGAATTCGACGATTATTACAAACAAGTAGCTTAATTTACGCGCTAGAAACTTCAAATTGTCTCAAACTCTGTTATTGTAACTGATAATCTAAAAAATATACTCATGCAATAAATTGATTCAAGTGTGTGTATCCCTCTCTCAAATTCTCGTTAGTGAATAATAAAAATAATAAAAAATAAAAAAGTATTTTTTTACCTGATCAACACGCAGTTTCCTGGTGAATTCATTGGCTCCGCACTCCATTCTCTGCGCCTGTAACAAAGATATACAATCTTTAATTATGAGCACATTGTAAGGAATTGTTTGAGATGATCCCACCATCTCGTTTTTACTATCGCACCGCCCCCTACCGGAGTAGAGTTCATCCATACTACCTGGAGCCACTGCCTTCATCCACAGTGCGTTTCCAGAGATATTCCAGAGAGATAGATGGAATGAGCTCCACTCCACGGTGTTTCCTAAACGCTATGACTTGTCCTTCTTCAAACGAGGCTTGTGGAGAGTACTCAACGGTAGGCAGCGGCTTGGCTCTGCCCCTGGATTTGGTGAAGTCCATGGGCAACGGTAACTACTCACCGTCAGATGGGATGGGATAGAAAAAAACATTTATTTGATTAGCATTTTTTTAAAGAGTTGGTTCTTAATTTTAAAATAAGCAATTTCAGTGGAATATATTGCATTTCGAAGTATAGTATAGTGGTCATTTTGATTTAGTTCAAGAAAAGATCAGTTTGCGGGCCAGTGAACGGTACTAGACGAATTCCGCGATCATTGATATCCAAGGTCTGAGTTTATTCTCAGTAATCATCGTGTTCCGAGATTATCTATGACGATGAGCAATATCTATAGTATCTTTTTAGTTAGCATAAATTTGTCAAATTATCAATTTTACTGTTAAGCGTATGAAAGGCAAGTATATCCTGTCTTTCGCATAAGGAGATTCTATCTAAAATTTATTTTTATTCCATTTTAACTGGAATGTGGTTGTTTTTTAGTATAATTTTTCATAATTATTGAACATTACTTATTCTTGCTTATTGCAATTTACAAAGGTTTTTTTTGATAGTATTTTAATTCTCAGCGAATTATGAAAATGGGCACTTTCCTAAAATGTAACCATTTAAATTTTATATACCGCCTTTGTGAAATAAGAAGATGGTACGTGCCGTGGTTTGGTAAGTTTATATGCAGAGCTACATCGAAAATTCCTTCAATGTTCTTGGTAACACAAAAATACCATATTTATGAAGTACCCTTACAATTACCAGTACCATAACTTTTAGATAAGAAAATACCAAACAGTATATAAACCATTGTATTGTTTGGTCTATAGTTATCGGAATAAGAATCAGGCGGGAATCGTGACTGGGTCGTAACGTAGCTGAGAACGTTCCGAAGTACCAAATTACTAAGTCTCGCTTGGTTTTGAAGTTTTGTCCACGCCGCGAAGTCGTCAGTCGGTCCAGTACAATTGTTTTGTCTTAACCACAACTTTCGCCGTGTCATTAACAATGTCGAAAAAGAGGACAACGACCGTGAGAATTAATGATTATAAGATTTATTGTGATTAAGATTTTTTTTTTTCGGTAGCAATTTTGTTTGGTGCATTTTTGGCTAAACCTAATTGCTCTGATTTTCTTACTAGCTAACTTTCGCGAGTATTAGACATAATTAAAAGTTTTACGGATTTTTCATAACTTTCTTAAGACTGCTTGCTAGTTATTATGATCCGGCACGAGTTGGTACTACCATTTTGTCTATTTTTGAGGCGATAGGGTCGTGTATTCCAGTTCGAGGTGAGAAACACAATTCAATTGAGACTATACACGTATATGGCCACCGGGCCACCGTAATCCTCCCTATATTAGAAAAACTCTGCTTTTGCTAATGGAGCGGTTTTCTCCGAATAGGTGTATTCAGTTTTAATTGTACTAGAGGTTCCCGCAGTAGTCGAAATTCGACTATAATTAATTGGAATTGTAAGTTTGTACACTATTATGATTGTATTTTATACTTCTATAATCACAAATTTCACCAAGACTACACTATAAAAAATACTAACAAAGACAAACAATATTTAATCTATTCTCAATTTGACAACAAACGTCAAGAACAAAAGTTTGACAATAAATAGTATGCATGCGTGTGTGCGTCAAATACATGGTATGTAGTTTGTGTAATGTTTTCTTTATTGATTTAATGTATCTATAATGCACTATTAAAAAAATATATTAGCATTGTGCACTTCTTCTCTATATTCTCTATAAGTGTGGAAAATGTCATACTCCTCCGGCCGCGCAATTTTCGTAAAAAGGGATACAAAGTTTTTGCTTCACGTATATAGATATGTTTTAGAACAGACTCTAAATGTGTAAGCACATAAAATTACCAAGATTAATAGATTATGCTTGGTTTATTCTCGTTTTGTGTTTAAATAACACTTTTATTTCATATCAAACTCATACAGATTGCCATGCAATTGTTCTCTCCGATTCGTGCGATGCGCAACTTGCGATTTTCTTGTAGAAGGTACAAGCAAATCTGCATCAATTTGTGTCTCTCTTTAGTGCATTATCATATCTCAGAAATTTGTTATTACCAATGTTTGCGGACTTGCAACCTATTTTATACCAAAAAATCGGTGATGATTTGGATACATAGACCTAATGACATATTTTACACAAAACTCCTAATCTGAGAAAGTATAATTCAACGATATGCTTTCTGACTACAAAAGTTAGTGGCATGAATAAATTTCGCTGTAATTTTGTACATAAACCGCAATGGTGTCATTTTAATTTGGAAATTGAATTATAGTTATACAATAAACTTTTGTGTCGGCTGGTGGTCGTAAATAGTGCGTAACAAGACCGATGTAAACCAGAATAGGTTAGAATAGGCTAGAATAAGTTGTAGTTGTATATAGACAAACGACAGGCCTCACGCCATCGATGTTAAAAGACTATGGATATTATGACAGCAGTACACAATAAATAGCGGTTTTCGGTTTTAATCTATGACAGTATCTTAAACTTTTATTTTTTAATTAAAGCAAACTTTGTGTATGTAATTTTTGTTTATTAATTTGTTACCTTATCGCGGTAAGGTATTTATAGAACTGATTTTGGGTGAAAATTAGTTCATTAGTTCAAGTAACCGACCCACCGATCAGATATTTTGTAAAAATGTCTTTAAAAAATCTGTTAAAAATTGATTCATTATCCCTAGCCACTAGGCACGTCCACACAATTTAAACTTGATAGATACTTTTCGTTATTCCATTTTCATTTCTGTTGGTGAACAGACAAACATTGACGTTTTATGTTTTATGCGTCGAATGTCTCAAAAGCATATTGCACCTTTAGAATTGAAGTGTCTTAATCCAAAATTCTTGTTAAACGCCAAAAATGTAATTTTATTGAAGAATTGTACTTTTTCAGTTTCAATTTTAATATTTTAATCCTTAAAGCGCATACCTTAAACTTTGCGTATAAAGATTTAAAAGAAACGGAAAGTGAACTTTGTCGTTTTCTAAACTAAAATTTAAATGTAGTTCTTTAATTAAAAAAATAATTTTATAAACTGATAGAATGCATGGTTATAAGTCGTCCAAAATACTAAACTCATTGTCTTAATTTTTTTTAGTTAAGCCCCTTCAATTCCAAAAGTGCGAATTATGTAACTCGAAGTACAAGTTTACTGGTGGTAGGATCTCTTGTGAGTCCGGACGGGTAGGTACCATCACCCCGCCTATTTCTGCCGTGAAGCAGTAACACGTTTCAGTTTGAAGGGCGTGGCAGCCGTTGTAACTATACTTGAGACCTTAGAACTTATATCTCAAGGTGGGTGGCGTATTTACTTTATAGATGTCTATGGGCTTCAGTAACCACTGAAGTTAGCTGTGAGCTCGTCTACAAATCTAAGCAATAAAAATAAAAAAGTACTAGCGTGAATAGAATTATTTGAAATCGAACCACGAGCTATTGGAAAGTAACAATTAAAAAAAAATGCTATTCTAACACGCAACAAATAAAATGTTTCGTAACTAATTCGTTTACGTCGAAGTAACACTTCGCATTAAACGGTCGTTGCAAGGTTCGAGCCTAAACACGGAAACGCACTATCAATAATCGTTCGATTACGTAAGGTTTTAATTCGTTTGATGCGCAGACGCGTGCCGGACGATCTACAGTTATGTGGTGAGTTAAGGTTCGAAATTGAAAATTAATGAAAAGGTTTCGATTTGGTTTTAAATAAGTCCAAACCACGGGACGGTTTATATCCCAGTCTTCGGGTTTTTTTTTTAAAAATTTGGAACGAAGTTCCTTACGGCAGGCTTGGAGGAGATAGGGATTTTGCTGCGCGACCGAACTGAAAAAAATGTGATAGTAAAACCGTAAGAAAAAGTCCGTGAAATAAGGCCTTGTTTTCCGCACAGCGATATTTCATCGCGCGATTTTTTTCTCGTAATTCTTTTTTTTTTTTATGTGGAACTTCGTTCCTATCCAATGTCCCACGACACCACACATCTTTTTTATGTTTAAAGGACAACTGGTGGCCCGGAGGCCCTTCCAGTTTCACCAGGACAGGTGGGCGAGCAAAGGCTCAGTCAGGAGGGGTGGGATTTGCTAACAGCTGCCCGAGCGCCTCCGAAGGAGACCTAACAACTCAAGAGCAATTGTTTCGCGAATTAATCTACTACCGGATCGGAATCGCGACCCGCTGAGAAAATCCGGCGAGAAACTCAACGGGCTAATGCATGGGTTAGGTTGCACGTCGACCTCTTTATCGAGTTCGACGAGTACGGTTACCGGGGTCCATAAGCCTGCTCCTAGTGTTAGAGCTGAAGGCTTCTCTTCAGGATATACAAAGTCACCGTAGTCTATAGGATATCGTGCTGTGGGATCATAACTGATGATAATTCCGCAATTAGATACCAATATTTTTTTTGAAATAGCGACATAAACGTCCTTCCGTGTGATTTCCACAACATAGGAATGAAATTGTGTAATTAAAGCAAAGGTTACATTATTATTATTTTAGAGTATAAGGCCCACAATCAAAATGACACAGCAAAGTCCCTGCCTACAGCTGCAAAATCTCGGCAAACCTTGTTTGTTAACTACAGAGCCGGATGGTACGTGGCGTAAAGTATCTCGCACTGTTGATGAACATAGCGGTTTCAAATAGTATCTATGAATAAACTCTGCTCCGATGGCGAGAGATGCGATGGTAAAAATGAGGTGGAGGGA